TGCTGGCAGGCCCCAGGCCACTGCTGCTGTCCCCACAGGCTCCTCTGGCAACGCAGCTCCTTGCAAGTTTGTCCATCACCTGGGGCAGCCCCACACCACAGGAGGGAGAAAAAGGCTGCAAAACCTGCCCACGCCGCTGTACCCCAGGGACACTCCTGTCCCAAACCCAGGTGGGAGCAGGACCCAGCTGTCCTGGCCCCTGCCCCTTCTCCCTGCCTTGGAGTCCAAAGATGCGCTCCACCGCCCACCAGCACTGCTGGCACAACAGGAGCCCATCGCTGCAGCTGGGAATGCGGTTTTACCAGGAACTTGTTTTTTCACCTCCTGTTTCAGCAGCTCCAAGTCACCAGGGCCACGAGAGGCACCAGCTGCAGGGCCCCCGCTGATGTGGGACGCGGCAGGGCTGACACGGGGGCTGCCCACCGCAGGGGGGACGCTGTCAGGCAAGGTTGGGCCAAGGCAGGATTGTCACATCCGCTGGCCGTGGGATGATACCACAAGGTCCCTGTGCTCCCCCTGCCACCAACTAGTCATACTGGGATGCACGTGACCACTTTCCAATTCAGAATTGTGGGTCTTCTCCTCATGGAGCCCTTCATCCCCAGTGTCACCTCCATGGGAGGATCATAGTCTTATAGAATAGTTTGTGTTGGAAGGAACCTTTAAAGATCATCTAGTCCAGCCCCCCTGCCCTGGGCAGGGACATCTTTCACTAGATCAGGTTGCTCAGAGCCCCGTCCAACCTGACCTTGAACATTTCCAGGGATGGGGCATCTACAATTTCTCTGGGCAACCTGTTCCAGTGTCTCACCACCCTCATCGTACACCGTTTCTTCCTTATGTCCACTCTAAACCTACCCTCTTTCAGTTTAAGACTGTTGCCCCTTGTCCTGTCACAATAAGCCTTGGTAAAAAGTCTTTGTCTTTCTTGTAAGCCCCCTTTATATGTTGAAAGGCCACAATAACGTCTCCCTGGAGCCTTCTCTTCTCCAGGCTGAACAACCCCAACTCTCTCAGCCTTTCTTCACAGGAGAGGTGTTCCAGCCCTCGGATCATTTTTATGACCCTCCTCTGGACCCTCTCCAACAGGTCCGTGTCTTTCCTGTGCTGAGGACACCAGGACCTGCTGGCCACGCTGCTTCTGATGCAGCCCAGGATACGATTGGCCTTCTGGGCTGCGAGCGCACATTGCTGGCTCACGTCCAGCTTTTCACCCACCACTACCCCCAAGTCCTTCTCCACAGGGCTGCTCTCAATCCTTTCATGCCCCAGTCTGTACTGATACTGGGGATTGCCCCAACCCAGGTGCAAGGACCTTGCATTTGGCCTTGTTGAACATCATGAGGTTCACATGGGCCCACTCCTCCAGCCTGTCAAGGTCCCTCTGGATGGCATCCCCTCCCCCAAGTGAATCAACTGCACCACTCAGCTTGGTGTCATCTGCAGACTTTCTGAGGGTGCACTCAATCTCACTATACACACCACTGATGAAGATATTAAATAGTATTGGTCCCAGTATGGACCCTTGAGGGACACCACTTGTTACTGCTTTGCACTTGGACATTGAGCCATTGACTGTAACTCTTTGGACGCGGCCATCCAGACAATTCTTTGTCACCTAACAGTCTACCCTCAAACCCATATCTCTCCAATTAGAGGTAAGAATGTTGTGGGGGACTATATCAAAGGCCTTACAGAAGTCCAGGTAGATGACATCCATAGCTCTTCACTGGTTCATTGATGCAGTCACTCTGTTGTAGAAGGCTGCCAGATTAGTCAGGCACGGTTTGCCCTTGGTGAAGCTGTGTTGGCTGTCTCTAATCACCTCCCCGTCTTCTATGAGTTTCGACATATCTTCCAGGAGGATCTGCTCCATGTTCTTACCAGGCAGTGAGGTGAGGCTGACTGGTCGGTAGTTCCCAGGGTCCTCCTTTTTACCCTTTTTAAAAATGGGTGTGATGTTTCCCTTTTTCCAGTCACTGGGAACTTTGCCTGACTGCCACAACTTTTCAAATAAGATGGAGAGTGGCTTGGCAACTACATGAGCCAATTCCCTCAGGACCCTGGGCTGCATCTTGTTGGATCCTGTAGATTTATGTATGTTCAGGTTCCTCAGGTGGTCTTGAACCTGATCTTCTCCTACAATAGGAGGGACTTTGTTCCCCCAGGCCCTGCCTTGAGGTTCAGGGGCTTGAGAGAGAGATTACCATTAAAAACTGAGGCAAAAAAAAAAAAAAAAAAAAAGTTGAGTACCTCAGCCTTCTCCATGTTGGTTGTCACCAGCTCTCCCGTCTTATTTAAGGGGGGACACACATTTTCTTTAATCTTCCTTTTCTGGCCAATGTACCTGTAGAGGTCCTTCTTCTTATTCCTCACATCCCTTGCCAAATTCCACTCCAATTGTGCCTTAGCTTTCCTGATCCCATCCCTGCATATCCAGGCAGCATCCCTATATTCTTCCTAGGATGCACGTCTCTGGTTCCACTGCCTGTGCATTTCCTTCTTACACTTTGGTTTGACCAGGAGGTCCTTACTGATCCACGCTGCTTTCCTGCCTTCCTTGCCTGAGTTTTTTTAACATAAGGGAATTGAGAGCTCTTGCGCTCTAAGAAAAATGTCATTAAAGAGCTACCAGCTCTGTCCAGCTCCTTTATCCCTGAGGACAGTTTCCCAGAGGGTTCCATCCAGTAATTCCTTGAACAACTGAAATTGTGGATGGTGGGACTCATTGGGCAAATCCTCTCCTGCTGCCTTAGCAGCACAGGGGGCTGGAGCGGGGACAGCCCACCCGCTGGGTCGCTGACACCAAGCCTGTGTACTTGGTGGCACTGCCTGGGCTGCCGTGCATCCCCCGTACCGTGGCATCATCCACACCCACCGCGGTGGGTGACTCTTAAAAGTCAAGTCATGGTTTCTGTAAGTTTTGTTCTGATTTCAGCACCCTTCCTCCAGATCCATTTTGCAGTTGGAATTTCTCTCTGTCACTGCACAGCAGACGCTTTCTTTCCTTTTCTAAAGGAAGGTGCGATTTCTCAATGCTCGCAACTCACACGCTTCAGCTTTGCCAAAGATGCCATCCAATGAGACCCACGTCCCACATAGGTGAATCCGCTTCATGCCCACCTTGCTCCTTTGTACCAGAGAACTAGATAGTGTGAAGCTACCCCAGCAGCTTGGTGCTCCTCTCTGCTTCCAAGACCTCAAAACAGCCACGGAAGCATTGGCTTCCAGAGAAGAGAAACATCTGAGGAGGGGGAGAGGTGATTTCATTCATGCACTGGTTTTCTTGGTGCTCAGTGAACACAAGAGCCTGGGCAGGACAATGCGGGGCTGGGACCCAGCGCTGACTGCACCACTCTCGGGAAACCCCACTGCTGGCCTCTTGGAAACTTCTAGCCAGAGCAGGACGATGTCTCCCTGACTCTGCTGGGCTGGGAGAGGTGCGGGGGCTCACTCAGCTCCTTGGAGCAGAGATGACAGTCTTTGCGCTATTCCTCTTTTGGAGGGTGAGTCACAGTCACTCCTCTGCATCACTGGTGGTAAACCCCAGCCTGTCTCCATGACGGTGAGGAGCCGAGGGCTTACCGTGCCAGTCCCTATCCAGAACAACAACAAAAAAGGGACAATTGCAGCTCTTGTAAGGTTAATATTAGCAGGCAGCATCATTAGCTAGCACAGACATCCTCTTGTACTGCAGCCCATCTGCGACACCTATTATCTTGGTGGACTTAGAGATGCAAAGGCAGCTGCTCCGTGCCTGTTGCCCAGCAGGCACAGCCAAAGTCTGACGTGACTGGATGCAGCTCAACTCACTTCCAGGGTGGGCGAGGACCTCATGGGCACAGAGCTTAAGGACAGGGTCTGCTCCATACCCCTTGCCATGGTACAACCTGGTACGAGGAGGGACATGCTCGCTGAGCCAGGAAGGATGGCAGTGACTCTGACAGTTGGCCCTTCATTTTCTGCTGCTCCAGGACAGTAATTTCTGGTGAAAAGCAGCAACTCTTTGCTCAGTCCTGCCCCTGTGTGCAGACAGTGGGTGGTGCTTGGAAGGGACAGATCCTCCACTCTGAGCACCCAAGGGCCCGGCTTCTCTTCTGCCCAGCTGGCACTAGGGATCCGAGTGCCGGACATGCACCCCCACATGGATACCTGCTGCTGGCAGAGCGGCCGGTGCCTCCACCCAGCCACCAGCGGGCAATGGCAGTGAATCACCTTCCTCCTGGTGCCACTCACATTCCTTGTCCTAAAGCCACTATTTATTCTTGGAGGTATTTGGTCCCTGTGGTTCCCATCACTGGAATGAACATTCCCACAAGCAGGATGCGTGGGAAGAAAGCCTGGGAGGAGCTATTTGCCCCCCTCTTTGTTTTGGAGCTGTTCTACACTTTTTTTTTTCAATCAGTTAACCTGAGTATTTGCAATAAGGATGAGAAGTACAGAAACACGGTGGGGTTTGGTGAAGCCATCCCAACCCTAAACTGGAGAGTTCAGGCTTGTTTCCAGTGTACAGAGTTACCCCAGCTGAGGAGCTGCCAGGACCCAACAGCACAGCGGCAGAAGAGGGGACACAGGCGTTGGCAGGTTGCACCTCTGCACTGAAATTGGAGCCGGATGCGTTGTGCACACACCTTTGAAACAAGCTGGAGAACCTTTTTTACAAACACCCGGCCACACTAAGGGTCACTTGGACAAACGGCAAGTACAGATCTTTTGATGAAAAACGGGTGACACCTAGCCATTTTCCCCACTGACCACAACACTCTTAACACTAAAACACTACGTCCCTCCCTCTCCACTGACAGAGCAGACACAACAACACGTCACCTCTCAGCAACTCTAACAGACCCTTGCACTTACCTCCCAGCAACGTCCATGCAGGGCCTTGGGGGCAACGATGTCTCGGGGTAGCTCACAGTTAAGCCTGGACTCAGATTCCTGAATTCCTGGAGAGTAAATTCTCTTTCATGTGGAGCAGCAAAGCTTTATTTTCAAGGGCATACTCCCAGAAAGAGCTACTGCGTTATTTCCTGATTTCTCTTCTGGTAAGGGCTGCAGATGCAGCGTCCCAGAGGTCCTAGTGCCTACCGCCTGCACAGTCAAACATTAATCAGCGATGACTCATTATTTGACAACACTTAAAACAACTTTTACCCTTTGAGGGCACAAGTACACAACCTCGCTAGAAATGAACTGGAGATCATCAGATCCTACATCCTGCAGCACTGCGTAGCACTCACAGAAAATTAATGATCCACTATGCAAATAGACAGATTTCTGTTACCACCTCCATTGCCATCATCAGAGCAGCTACTCAAGGAGCAGGTGCCCATGGTGGCAGCAGCTCTCTGGGGAGACTGAGACTCAGGAGAGGACGTGGTGGGACCAGGGATCCCGAAGTCTAATCCCGTCTCAGCACCGACTTCGGGGAGGTTGATCCAAGAGCACGGCCGCGCCTTGCTGCTCTATATGAAAACACAGATGCATCAACAGGCTGGAACGGGCAATTGCAGAGAGACCTTTAAATGAACACCACTGTCAAATGGCAGTGGCTTATCTATATCCTCCAGCATCTGCAACTAGCGGGGAGGGAATAATCGCCTCCACAGCTCATCATCCCAGCCAGAAAACTGGAGACCAGTTTTGCACCAACGTTCAACATTTCCAACATTCTGAGCAAAACAGTGAAAAAGAAGAAAACGCAATTTCAGGCAAACACCATACTTCATTCAGGGGTCTTGGGGGAGGGTGTGTGTGTACTTTGTTTTGTTTTTAATAAAATGGTGTTTAAACCTTCAAAAAATACTGGCAATTCAAGGGCAAAGACAGCATAGAAGCAAACTATTCCAAATTAGCCAGTAGTTTCAGCTCCTGGTTATATTTTTCCATCAACAAACAATGTCCCCAAGCCCTTCGAGCCAGTCTGTTCATAGGATTCTTGAGATGCGTTTCCCCAGGAGCACTCCTTGCATTATCCTCTGGATTTGTGAGGACGGACCCTTAGATACCAGGTCTGTTCAAGCTTGAGAAGAAACTCAGGAGTACATCCTTACAGCCCCTGTGCCACGCTCCTGGGGCTCAGCATCAGATCTCCTGGGGTCTGCGCAGTATTTTCTGCGACAAATGGAAGTGTTTCGTACTTTTGGGTTTTACCACATCCGGTCGTTGCTACAGACGTGACCACGGCCCAAAGAACTCAGCATCACACACAGGGAACAACTTGCTCACACTTAATAAATGGGCTTTCCCTGTCCTACTGTATGGCCAGCAAAAAGACTCCCACTTGCTTCTGCCAGAGCTGGTCTCCCCCTATATATATCTTATATACCACCCAGGCAGTGCCTCAATCTGTAATACGTTGAGACTCAAAACTGTCTTCTTCTCTTCTCTGGTGCAGCAAAGTAGATATCCGCACTGCACAGCCCAGTTCAGTGTTGTACAGCTGGCCCAGGTCCCTCCAAAACAGCCTACAGTGAGCCGAAACATCAAGATTTTGTAGCACTTCCAAAGTCGCTGGGTAAACGTGCAATTGTATGGGAAATGTTTTTGTCACATCCTAGGCTGAGGCTTCAAGCACTTGTCAGTCTTCCTCCTGGCATCCTTCCTTTGAGTCAGGGAAAGTCAGGCTCGCAGTCACAAGCGCAACGTCCTACAGAACAAACGGCTGAGCAGTGCCATTCCTGGTAAGATGAGAATGAAAGTTACGCAAGGAAGCAGAGGTTGGAGCAGGAAGGACGGGCAACAATATTCATTAGGTACAGCAGCACGTTTTGTACAGAAAAAACAGCTCCTTTCTTCTCAGCACAGATTCGGGCATTGGCAGTCCGGAGCCAGTGGGCTCTCTTTTGCCGCCTCAACTCCCTTCAGTCCATGCTG